AAATTGTCTTTCCTCAGATTTTGCAAGAATGACTTTCTATTGCCATTTCATTTCACCCATACTTATTTAAAGGTAATATAATCACTATTGGTTTGTTTCATGATAATTTATACTTTAATCAGATGGAAACAAAATTCACAATTCAAATTTGGGTTATCAACTCCTTGTGGGGGAAAATAGTTAGACAATATGAATCTTAAAGTAACCAGTGGGAAAGTGGGCAGCGGAGTTCTGAGAGATACGTCTACCACTGAACTAACTGTTTTAAATGGCCAATAGAACAAACAACTATTTGACTGAACTAGAACTTTCCATGATACAGTTGTTAGTGAGTTAGTCTACTTACGGTATTCATTTGAAAGGGCAGGAAGTTTAAGTTACAGATATTCTGATTCGATTTGTTAGCTATTATAATTATCTCTGAAAACCAGTTATTCTTAAAGGTATTCATCTTAATTTTCAAATTATTTAGGACTTATGCATTCTAAACTATTAACTAATCAGGCCATATGCTTATTTCATTCTCTAGACTGAGAAATTGCATGCTAAATCAAACATACTAGGTTCTCAGTGACTTCATTGATAGTACCAAAGACTATCAATGAAGTATTCTTAGCCAGAATGCCCAATATTTTTTCTGTAGCCTGAGATTCAGATGAACACAATAGAAAAGCAGTAATTAAAACAAAACAAAACAAAACAAAACAAAGAACAAAAACCTCTAAGATCTCTAGTTCTAATGTGATAAGATGAAGATTTGGACTGGTAAAAAGCACAGAAGTCAAGTGATCTTACAGTTTGCTAATTAGGTTTATAGCCTCAGAAAAATAAATTTGGGGGAATCTCACAATGTCGAATGATAGTAATTTAGAAAAAAATTAATGTATCCATTGAAGAGGTAAGCAGTTGATCTTTATTTACCCATGGAATAGACTTAAACTACCCAAACAAAGAAGCAACATATACAAAAGAAAAGAAATAGCACAGCATACTTAAAGGTTTTATTAAAATAAAGAAAAGTATCTTAGTTTTGAAAAAATATATATCGGTCCTTGATATAACATAACACCATAAGACCCTTACCTCTGATGTATAACCTCTCCTGCAAGGCAGAAATGAAGAAATCAGTATTAAACAACTTGGTTTGCTAGGTTAAATAAAATTTTAGGTAAGAGTGTTTAAAAAATATGAGAAAAACTGAGAAGGTAATTTTTACTAAAAATTATTTCAGCGAGAAATATATTTTGTGGTAGTATCAAGACAGGAGGATCAAGGTTTTATGCCTGCATTATTAAAAATAATTACTACCCCAATCCTTATTCTATATGAACACCAAAACATACATAATCTATTTTACCTCACTGGTCTACAATAAAACACTTTGACTATTATAATTGATTGGAATAAAAAAATTCTATGTCATCTCTGTCCTGGATGTCTTGATACATATAAGATACTCATTTGGGAAAAGATGTTTTATACATGAAAAACATATGTTTCAGAATTTAAAAAAATCATGACTAGAATATATTCTTCCAAATGTTCGTAAGATATTTTTGTTTGTGTTAATTTATTCTAAAAATAGTAAATGCACAATATTACTAGCTTTTGAGAGTTAATTAGACATGAAGCATCTAATGAAGTGTGTATTACATTAGAGATGAAGTGAAAAAGTTTTTTAGAGATGTAATAGCTAAACATTCAATATTGCATAAAGATTTATAAAGTTCATGGACTACAAGTTTGTGAAACATCTGACTGCTTGAGAAGGAAAAATACATAGGCAGTTTTCAATGTTGGATGTCATTAATTATAAATATTAAATTTATTATTTATTAAAGAGTTGACCTAAAGTATTAAACTGGTGCTATGGACCATGCTATATGAAATCAATAAAAAAAACTTCAATGAAGATTTGTTATGAGGAGATATGTACATAACTTTTTAAAGTCCAACACAATAATCTCTGTAGAAAATTTCTTTAAATTACAAGGCCTTCAGAAGACAAATCTACTTATCTGAAAGCATCTTTAGTGGTTAAGACATTGCTGACTGAAATGATTGGTAATAATGATAATATAATAGCTACTTAATCCTATCGGCAATTTATTATTTGTAATAGTTCTGTAGTGAGATTTTCAGAGTGCGTATGGGGTTCTGCCAATAGTTATGGTAATGATAACCCTTCTAGAGTATTTAGTTTAGACATTTTTAACTTTTACTCAATTTGTATCTTTCAGAGATAGCGAAAGCTCATACTTAGATTTTAAAAATTAAACTGCATCACATACATATTATAAAATGTCCAACTAAAGCTAGATTTTATTTTCTAAGACATTAAATTGCTTCTTTTCTTTAGCAATATTTCCATAATTGTGGGAAATGACATATCAATAGATGAATACTAATTACTCTTCTATTAATCTTTTTGTTGCCTTTCATTTGGTTATTTGTATTGTTTGTCTTAGCTCAAAGGCAAAAAATGACTTAGAAGAGATACACAACAGAACCATATGTATAATTATCTGTGTGCTTTCAATAAACATGACACTGTTGATTCCTTATAAAACCAGTCATATAATATTGATACATAGTTCTGTTTAGTTTATATCTAATGTGTGTTAATTATTTTACTTTACACCATTTATATGTATTATAGCTTACATTTTAAAGTAAGAAAAATGTATGATAACCTGTTGGTATTCTTTAATAAGGTATTTAATAATTCTTTATGCATTGACTGGAACAAAATAAATGCAGAAGCAAAAAGTGCTCTTTTTTTCTAGAGGATGGTTGTCAGGTTGTGGGAGCTTAGAAGTTGAGGAGAAGAAAAATATTTTGGCTTGTGTAAACAAAGAATATTGGAATAACAGGTGTCACGTAGATTTTCTAATTGACATTTATAATGAAACTGGGAATCTCTAAATATGTGTCAGTAAAAGGCTAAGTTAAATATAAAATGTGGGTGTGGATATTTCATTAGAAAATTATAAAATACTGATAAAATTTTTAGATTAAATATTATAAAATGTTATAGAAAAGGACAATGAAACATTTTGGTAAGCACCTAAATTGTTTAGATTTCTTATATTATTTTTTTGGTAATTATTTAGAGATTTAATTATTAAAGAATCCTAAGGAATTTTCAAGAAATTTCACATTTCACAGAATTCGACGCAAAATAGATTAAAAAGACACACTCACATTAAAAGCTTTCACAATTGTGAATAATACCTTCTGAGAGTCCGCCAAAAAGCACAAGTTTTCATGCACATGACCAGCTGCCAACAAAAACTCCAACTGAAGTTTTTCAGTGAAAGAGAGAAAAAAATCATATTCAAGAACCCCAAGAAAGAAATTATTCTTGATTTGAATGAAAAGAATCTGAAGCAGAGGAACTAATGAAAATAATTAGAATTACAAATTATTTTTGATCCAATATTAATTAGGGGTGCCAGACCAAATTCTTGAAGAAACATCACAATGATGTTTGAAATGATGCATGCTGGGTCCTGAATAATGGTAATTAGCAAGGAAGACTTTCGCTTGTATTTTGGAATTGTGCTTTGCTCTGTGCTGACCTACATCTTCTAAAATATTAAAATTGTAAAACAAGTAAAGCAAATAATGATACTTGCATTCTATGTGGAAATTTCCAGGAAACAAAATTTATTCCATATGTTAGATAGGAAAAACAAAGTAATTACTTGATAGTTGAGTGTCTCTTTCATTAAGCAGGTAGGAAGATAGTACTTAGCTTATGCCTCTAAGAATTTAATAAGTTGAGCTCTAAAATATGAGAACTACAACTATAAAAATGTCTCTTTGACTAAAACAAAGAGTAAAGGCCTATATAAAACTGTTAATAGTTTACCAGATATAGTTCCTCTTGATTTCTATTTAAAAAATTTTATATTTTATCTATACACTACAGTCTAAATTTCAATGATTGATCCATAGTAATTAAAAGTAATTTGGAATAAAGCCAATAAGGCCCTTTTCTAAAATTTTAATAGTAAGCACATTTTAAATTGTCAAATTAATGAAAATATTTATAATTTTATCAATGAAGTAGTAACTAAATTCATAGTAGATAAACCTTTATAGACATTTACTTAACCTTCTTTTGCTGAAACTGATTAGAATTTCTTTATTAAACATGAGATAAATACTTTCTTTGAAGGAGCTCTTATGATAAAATTATAATTTACAAGATGATGTAATTATGTAGACAAACAAAACCAAAGAGTACTTGAAACATCTGTGGGAACAATGAAATGTCTGACAAAAGTCAACAACTCAAGATTTATTTTTATTATAAAGAAGAAAAAAGAAAGCACAATGGGAAATAAATAGATAAGACAGCAATTAAAAAGCAAAAGATTTATCAAATGTATAAGCATACTAGTAAGATAAAAGCAAGCCAGAGTAAAAGATGTACTTATAAGAAAATAGATGACTACATCTTAGAGCACCTGGAATTTATTTTGAAATACCATAATGTCTGTTGTCTCCTACATTTTAAGATAACATTTTAATTTAGGAGTATTTTTTCTTACTAAATACATAGGCTTCAAGGAAATAACAAGACCTACGATATTTTTTAGCTTTTTTGTAATAGTCTGCTTTTTCTTGGAGCACTCATATAAAACTATGATGAAAAAGTAAAAGTTACTGCATTAACAAGATAAACAAGCCATTGATTTAAGTTGGATATCTAACTTTTATGCCCATATATTCCCATTAAAAAAATAGGTTGAAATTACTTACTTTTAAAATAAATGTAGACAAATAATGCTACTTCGTAGTTAAGAAAATTAAGATAAATCTATGAGTTAGTAATGATGATATTAATAATATTTTAAATTAAAAATGAGGAAAAAACAGTATTGCATTGTGTTTAGAGTAAAAAACGGAATCTTCTTTAATGTTCAAATTTGCCTCCACTCGAAGATTACGGTCAATAAAAGAATTGTCCAGTTAAAACAAGAAAAGCAACATTACAGTGAAGTAGATTGACTGAGAGATTGTTTTTCAATTCCCTCGACAATATTGTGCAAATTCTCTTGGTTTTGTTTAGATGTCATTTCCATATTTGTTAGCTCTGAAGGGCAGTTAGTTTGAAGTTTTGGGATGTTTGTTGGTGGATAGTTTTTTTCTATTTGACTGTACATGTTAGCTACCGACTTTTCAAGTTCTGCTAAGTTTTTAACATGTTTGAGTATTCCTTTTGGTTCTCTTTGAGCAACTTCATTACACACTGTTGTTGATGTTGACAGCTGTGTCACAGAGGACTTCATTTCTTCAGCTGGTGTCACACTGACAGTGTGTTTAACAGCTGGTATACAAACACATGTAGTGGATGGAACTGAAGTTGAAGGAGGTAGTGGAGAAGGAAAAAGAAGAGGTGGTGGAGGAAGAGAGGGAAAAGGAGATTGAAGAGGTGGAGGAGGAGAAGCAGAGGGAGGAGAATGGGGAGTGAGGGGGGCAAAAGGAAAAGGAGGAGGACTAGGAGGCTGAGAAGGATGAGAGCAGGAAAGAGCAAAAGGAGTAAGGACAAGAGGAGGAGGAGGAGAAGGAGAAATGTTTGGTGGATGGGGAAGATTTTCGAAAATGTTCCTCTTGGTTTCAGTAGTCAACATACACATGGTTGTCTCTCTCCTAAAGAGTGGAGAATTTAAAATGCAAGGCATCGAAGGAGAAAGTTCCAAGGAACAGTCAGCAGGAGAAATGATGACATTAGGTTCTGATTTGAGTTCCACAGTTCTTGAAACAGTTGGCAAAGTAGAGATTGAGGAATGAGACCAAGGAGAAGAAAATGAAGAGTCTGAGGACAGAGATTCCAACTGGTCTGTTCCTTGTATAATCAGTGATTCACCTTGCCTTATTTCCTCTTTCTCTGTTAAGCTGGCATCTTCAGCTGCAAGCAAAGGATTACTACTACCCCTTTTGTTTGGATAGGTTCCAGTACTTTCATTTTCAGCGATCTGCCTGTTGCTTCGCCATTGCTCCAGATCTATAGTATCCAGTCTATTGGGCAGTCCCCACATCGGTCTCCTAGGTGAGCAGATGTTCTGATTCCACATCCTCTGAATCTTTTCTCCTGGATGCCTTAGAGACTCATTTTTGGCTTGTGTTTTGGGTAAAAATGAGCCTACAGAATCTGTTCTTTGTGAAAAGTCTGAATTTGTTCTTTGATCTATATTTTCCTTATAAAGGGTGTTGTGGGTACTTAAGGCATCCTCATCAGATATCAGTGAGAATTTTCTTGCAGACTTGGGCTGGTCGTTCTTAAGTGATTCATCTATATAAGTCTGCTTGTGAGCCTCAATATCATTGGAAGAAAAGGGCATAACAACGTGCTGATGTTTCCTGTCTTCTGGAACTGATTTATTTCCCCTGCTTTGTTGGAAATGGTAGAGAAGGAAAAGACTTGAAAGAAAAGAAGATAGTGAAATGTAAGGAAACAGGTTGTGACATAGCTTTCCTGAGAAAGATGTTTTTATGGTTCTCATTACTACTTCAAAATATAAAATGCCAAATAACAATAATCTACTGAAGCAAAACATTACTTTCATATCCCTGGTCTCAAAAAGGAAGAGCAGAAACGCTTGAGAGCTGTGAGTAGCATGAGAAATATTCACTTAAAAAATGTGTCAGTCTGTACACTGATTTTTATTTTCAATTATTTTAATACAGCAAAGTATCTATGACCACACGTAATAGTTCTCTCATGTATAAATCACAATTCTTCAATTTGCAGACTGGCATTTCGGCTAACAGTTTCATATTTTGCCTTGGTTCAGGATACTCAGAGCTGAGTGTTTTGGGGAAAGAGGATTCTTAGTTGTGTCTTATTCATACCTGTCCATTATGTCTCATCTCAGTAATTATGTCCTGAAGCTAAAAGTACTTTCTTATCTGAGATTAAAGCTTGTAAGATACTACAGAAAGATATTTTTCTATTTTCCAGATTAAGAGAATTAAAGTACCCAAGCACAGATGGGAGAATTTCTTTCGGAGTCAACAGCTAAGAAAATGAATTTACACTATAATCTTGACAGAGACTATTTCTTCTAATTCAATTTTTGCTTAATCACTTAAAAAATTATATATTTTACAAATAAGAGAGAAATTGTTGGTGGTTCTTTTGCACATGATTTGGATCAAATTTTAGTTGACTAGTTTTACTGAAAAGATTTATGTTGATAAAACATAGTTTTTATATAACTGGAAGATTTTCTTATACATGAATACTGAGTCATAGTGGCTGTTCACCATAAATAAACTTGAATAAATCAAAGGGCACAAATAAGTGTCTCTGATGAAAGCATTGAGACTTTTCCCCATGAAGGGCTGGGGGACTTGTGGTTTTGAATAGTCTCTCATTAGACTTTGCTCTCAAGCTCAGAGTAACAGATTAATTTTTGTTATTGTTGCATATTTACCCATTGAGCAGAAATGAATTAAAAGGGAAATATTTTGAATAAAAATTAAATAGCCACATTGAAAGATTAAGATGACAGATGAGGAAATAAAATGATACATAAAGCCAAAGCTGTTATTGTGTCCTTTAGCAAAGATATAAACTGCAAGAAAGAATTCTCACAGGTCGACTTGGGGTATTGGGACCACCTGAATAATTCAGAAAGTGGACAATTTGCATTAAACACATAGAAAACACTTCTAATCTTAAAAGCTCATTTTTTAAAAGATGGGCTTGATACTATACAGCAGTTGTTTTTGTGTAGATGTGTTCTTGGTTTAATTTTCTTGGAAACAGTTATCGATATAATGATATCACATCACTTTTGGTTGAATGCTATAGGTAAATATTTTTAACAAATTAAAAACAAGGAGGATTTTAAAACTTCACTTGGTAGGTACAGATACTATCAGTGGGAACACTTGTTTAAACTCATGCAATTTCAAGAAATCAAAAGAGAATGAGATGTGGAAGATATAACTTTCTATTTAAAAGTAAATTACTCTATAGTAAAAATTACTTTATAGAGTAAAAATGACTTTATAGAGTAAAATAGCACTTTATCTATCCTTTTTTTTAATGCCCTTGTATTAGAATAATATTGTTTACTTACTTATGCCTATGTATCCACAGGTGAGAAAGAGAAAACATGTGACAGAAAAAAAAAGTTTTAACTATAGTTAATTTGTAATAATTATGAAAATATTAAAAGGAAATAGCTTTAAGCACTTAATATGTATTCAAAAGAGAAAATGCATATTTATATATTTCCTTTGTATTTATTCATAAAAATATATATAATAATCTATTTCCTACACACAGGTAAAATTCATCTCTATGAAATATGAATGATTTCAGTACTAAAACAGAAATTTTAAATGAGATTATAAGAATTGCTTCTATGCCCTAACTGAAAAATTAGTCCACACTAATTTATAAAGGAGACATAAGTATTGTTTGGAAGAAAGTAAATGTACAAATACTATAATAACCATTACAGAGTAAATATTCAATTTTTATGAAGTTATTACTTCATGAAGTTTTTTTCAAAACGACCTCTGATTTTTGTCTTTTAAAAACAGTTGATAATAATTTGTCATTTATTTTCTAGTAACATTATTTATAGGATCCCTATAAAAAATTTTGAATAGGTAAGTTAAAAATTTGTTAAAGATAATTAAATGTGTAGAACATATAAGAATTTAATAAATACATATTAGAATTGCAAAATTCTCTACTAAATAATAATAGATAACACAATTTTTCAAATAAAAAGTCCTTAAGTGTTGCTATTTGAAAATTATCACCATCTAACTATATTGATTCCAGATGATTCTACCTTATACTTGCCTTTGTGAAATACAGATGACTATATATCCCTCATCATCTTACATAAAACACAATTAATTTGACACCTAAATCTTTTTTAGTTTCTAAATATTTTTGCTGGACAGAGGTAGTTAACATAGACAGAATCAAATCATATTGGCTCAATTCCTACATTCACCAATAAATAAAAAAGAGACTATTATTTTCAACTTATAAAAAAAGATAAAAAAATATATATGTAAAGTGTGAATTCTGTATTATTATTTTAGAAGTAGATTGAAAGTGTTGAAGTTGTTTTAAATTCAATTTTAGAATTAAAATATAGAACAGTAAAATCAGTTTTAAGATTTTAAAAATTATTCTTAACATAACCTTGTATAATAGTATTAATATAGCAAATAATATTGATACATATCTTTAAAACCAGTTTTTCCATTAAACCACGAATTTCATAATTTTTGAGGCTTGTTTTATTCCTACTAGTAAATGCTACAAATGTAACAGTAGAATGTGTATTAGTCCCTTAACTCCACCCAATTCCAGTAAATAAAAGGTTTCCTGAATTTAATTTAGTCATATTCAAAATTTTATAATATTTCTAGTTGTTTTTCATTTCACGTCCAGAAAGCTATTCTTGAGTATTTAGAGTATAGACAAGTTAAATATCTCAAGAAATTTTGTTTTGAGGATGCATCATTATAGAAACAGCTGTATAGTCTTTTAACAATAATTTAAAAGCCTCTTTAAAAATGATTTAATATTGCTTAGAGATAGTATAGGAAAAATAATTAAGCTATCACTTCAGTCTTTTGAGAGGAACATGATAAAGAATTTTCTAAGTGCTTGGGTAGTTAATATTTAATTATTTTCATTCAGATTTTAATTACTTTATGATGTTCTAAAATAATGTTAGAAAAGTCATTGATTTTAGACTTATACAATTGGTTTATGTAACCGGGTAGAGGTTGACTTTTGATACCAAATCATGAATTACTATTTTATGATTGTGCTTTAATCTCCTTATTTTCTATGAGATATAAAAGATTTCATAATCTATTTCTAATTTGGAAGAATGTCTACACGATTCTAAAGATTTAGAGATTAAATATAACATTCAAGCTATTCATCTGCAAATATCTCCTTATATTGAATACTTCTTTTTTTACTGTTAAATCATGTTTTTGTTTGTATTGTTTTATTGGTTATTAATTTTCGATTTAACTTACATTCTCATCTTAACAATTTTCTGCTTTAAAAAATGTAATAAAGTAGTCTGCAAACTGCTTTTCAACATTAAGTTGAAATTAGATACTCACCACAGAGCATCCATCAAAACCCATTTACTTCTTAGAGCCCCTGAAAGGTCTACTCACATTGTGCTGTCCCCAAGTTCCTCATAGAGATGCACGCCTGGAGGTGGTGGTGGTGGTGGGGGTGCGGCCACAGGTGCCGGGGCAGGCGCTGCTGGTTTAGCCGCGGGTAATGCAGATTGGATTCGTGCTGTCTTGGTGCACTCAGCTTGGCGTCTTTAATAAAGTAAGGATGTTTTATAAAATTATTTTAGAAATCATATGCTTATCAATACGGTACCTTTTAATAATAGTGGACAGGTATCAGAGGAACTAATGTTAAAAAAATCTTTTACACAAGTATTTGATTTTATAAACTGATATATTACAAAGGCATCTCCACAGGATGTCATTTATGAACACTCTCTTCCGTGTAGTTCTTTAAAAATATTTACCACTTGATTAAAGTGTGGAATTCATTCGAAATATTTGCAAAGTTAAATGATAAAATTAAAGAGAAAAGGCAAAATATTTACAAAAACATGATTGACAATTGGTAAGTCTTAAATGGATTTCTTTCATAATGTGTGGCATATAGATACATATTTTTTTTTTATTATTCATCTTTTACCTATGTAAATAGAAGGCAGACAAATAACACATGGTTCTGGGTAGGCTGACTATTTTATGATTATTATCTGTGGTTTCTCTTTTCATATTTCATAAAATCACGTGCAAAATATTAGTAATTATACTTACACTTTAAACCTGTTTGAGAAAGCAATGAGTAAGGAAAAAGGAGAAAGCTACATTAGAAGTATTGCATTAATAATACTTTAATTTTTGATTTATTCTAAATTATAAATAATGTACTGATTAGAACTCATACAGATTTAATGACATAGTAGGGAAACTAAGTATTTCAATTCAGAAACTGAAAATGGTGAGCACTTTATTATTACTGTCACAGTCATGTGAACTGTTAAAATGTTTGTTACAGGAAAACAAAGAAATGAGATAAATGGAATAAGATACAACTGGATTAAAACATGGGTATGTGAATTTCAACTTTGACAGAAATGGAATATTAAAAATGATCTGATTTTTATAATTGGCTTCTTGGTTTACTGTGCTTAAAGAATATGAAAAGAATGGAGTCCGGCAACAAGCTCTGACTACACTTGTGGCCTCATTTTGAAGATGACAGGTGCCATTCCTGCGCAATGAATTCATGACACTTTTTTCATATTTACTTCTTGGTTTCCCATGCATAATGAATTTTCAAAGACACATCTTAATATAAAAGAATAACCATTGATTCTGATCTTATTTACAGGCAGAATATGAAGGTACAAAAGTTAGGTTTTTTAAAATAGAATTTTACCTGGAACATGAGCAGTGTAAAATTTCTTTTGTTTAACTCTGTTAATCTATAAAAAGCATCAACTAAAATTAATTCATAGAGTGTTGAGCTGCTTACTAAACTAAAAATAATTAAATAATGCATCTACAATATATTTAAATATTAAGCATCTGAAATTTTTGTTAAATTTCAGATCACTGAGTATAACATCCAGTTTTTGATCATTGCATTGTGTGTTAAATATGTTTCCTCACTGATATTATTGCTAGTAGGATAGAATAAAGCTCTTTTGAGAAATAGTTGAACGAAAAAGGATAACTGTAATGTAGATTACAACTTAACATGAAAATTAATATTGGGTTGAAAGCTTATTAATTAAAAATTTTGTCCAGTATTAAGTTTTTTCATAGGCTTTAAATTTGGCATATCTTTTGATTGGAACTCCAATATATCAACCTAAATATTATATCTGTAACTTCACATTGCTTTTAAGATGGAAAATATTCCTATAGCATCTTCATGCAGAGCATACTTTTTAACTTTCACATTGGAATTATCTTACCTAATTTAATTCAAAAGAAAATTCTCAGTATTAGAGAACAAAGATAACAGTTTAAGAATATGTAAAGACTTTCCCTGTAGGTATTTTAAATGATGAATAGCAGTTCTACCATTATTTCTTACTGTTTGTTACATTAGCAACTTGTGATTTATAATTCTTGTTTGTTATTTTCATTCTGTGGCACCTTCAGGGCTACCTCTTTTCTAAACCTATTTCCCATATTTTCACTAATCAGAGATATACTTAAAATGCATAGTCCTCAATCACAAAGGTTTCCCATACCTAGTGTCAAATAAAGAAAAGCTTACTAGCCTGTCTCAGAGATAGATGTTTAAATTAGTTACAATTATTTTGAAAGGCCTAAGTAATAAGAATATAGATATTTTAAATGGATATATTTGCCTATAGGAACCAGAAAACCTTAAAGCCTATACAGCCAAAATATATTGTTAGATGTTAAAATATAAGTTCCATTGAGGTTACCCAGGAAGGAAGAAACCGCATGGAAAATTACATATGCTGTGTTATAATTTTTAAATATTTTTACCAACATTGATCATTTGCACAGAAGTAAATTTAACCTTATGGATAAAAACTTAGCATGACAATGTAGTTAGGTTATGGACCTACCTTTGGAATTGGCTGAAATGAATATCTGCATATGATATTCCACTGCCTTTTCCCCAGGATACCTATTACCGTCTCTCTCAAAGCTCTTATCCTGATGAAGAGCATAAACAAAGACACGGGAGCTAACCTAATATACCTATTGGGTGAAAATATATTAAGAGCACAGGTACATTGAGCCATCTGTGAAAAATGTACTGGACATTTATATTATTTTCCTTTAAAGGAAGGTCATTTGGTACAAGAAGGATACAGGAATCCCAGAATGGTTGCACCATCAATATTTTACAACAAAACCATATTACTAGAGATGGTTTTTCCATAACACCTTCTTGAAGAACTATCCATATTTAGCTTTTATGAATACTTACTGTCTGTAGCTGACCAATACCACCAAGATGGCAGGAATACAACAGAGAATGATGATGAAAGCCAGAGCCAGCAAGGCACCTTCTGTGTAGCCTAGACTTTCTCCTCGTTTTTTAATGCTGGTCACTGCTTCTGGAGTCCGGATCTCCAGAATGCGTCCTCCTTCCCCATAATATGGTTGGAAGTCTTTATTGATATCGAGCAGTTTGCCATCCAAAAATCTTTATTGTTAGATAAATAGTAAAATTAATAATATTAAAAGAACAAGAGCTTTTTTAAAAATAAAATCTTTTGTAATATCTTTTAATATTTTTTAATTGAAACATAAACTCAGACAGAAGTCTTATAAATAAGGAAAGCATATGTAAAAAGCAAAAGCAATAAAGAAGAGTAATTACCCATCTATACACACATATCAAAAATATTAATAACAATGACACTTAATATGCTTTTAGACTTGGGAAAAGTCATTATCAATATCATTAAACTTTAAATCACTATGTTGAGATTATTTATGTTATTATGTTATTCAGGTAGAATAAAATATAATATTCTAAATTATATAGCAGTTTAAAATTATATTCCCGCTATTTATCTTCTTGGCTCTTCAGAATAATCCCATAAAATAGGACATTATAATACTAATTCACTGCATATCACAAAGCTATACAGTTATTGAAACAAATCTGAGACACCAACTCAATTCTTCAGACTTAAAATCTATATTTGTGTTCCACCACACAATATTAAATATCAACAATATTAAATATCAAACTAAAACAATAGCTTATGGGCAAAGATGAACAAATTAGAAGGTATTTTCTGCCCCCTCCACAAAAGACTAAATAAATAATGCATGTAGTAAATCAGTGTAATCGGAATGACAAAAATTGGTAGTCAATTTAATCTAGTATTTCTGGCAAACTCTTCCTTTAAATAATGCAATTCCGACTATGGGCATTGAGTTGAAGAGGAGATTCAAAAAATAATTGCTATCTAATTTCATTAGATAGAACAATTTCATTGCATATTTTATGCTGTAATTAAAAGGTTTTTTTTCCTAAAGATAGTCCTTGGAATCACTTGAAAATTCCCTTACAAATTCTACAATAGCAATATAACATTTGTGTTCTTAATATAAAACCACAACATGTCAGGTTTTTTTCTTTTCAATTTTAAGATTTTTATTTATAAAAGTCAAATATTTTACTATAAAACATTTGAAAACACAAAAGATTTCAAAAAGCAAAATTATTCATAGGGCCACAGTGCAAAGACAATCACTGCTAACATTTTGATATACTCACGTCAAATCTTTTTTGGGGGGATTCTTAATAAATATTTTGTATCCTTGTGATTATATGGAATATACAAAGTGAAAATATTTTAGAAATATATTTTAATATTAAAATACGATGCTATAGTTGAAAATTTGAAAAACGCAAGAAATGTTTAAGAAAAAAATGAAAATGACCCCGAATTTCACAATCAAATTATAACCAAAGATGTCAAACTTGTGCATTTTATAGTTGATTTTATGCCTTTTTGACACTTTTTAATCTAATATTCTGAGCAATCATGCTGCTTTCAAATCTAGTTAACACACTATTCATATAGATTCTATATACGAAAAATATATGCCTGATATCACATATAAATTCCACAAGGCAGTTTATAAGTCTTCCAATTTAAGAAAACTAATGGCTTAGATAATTCAATTTTCATTTTAAGCTACACATTTTTTAACTCAGGTTTTCATACTATGACATAAGGCAATTAGGATTTTTTTTTTACAAATATACTTTTGTAAATGAAAAATATAATTTTATTGCAATTTTCCTAGGTCATTTTAAAACATGTTAAAACATGTAATGAAAGATCAGAAATAGAATAAGATCATTAATTGCAAGGAAAAAATTTTCCCCATATCCATTCCACTTCGATATTGTTGTTTTGCTTAATAAAGTAAATCAGAGGTAAACCACATTATTTAAACTAGATGCTAATCATTAGTTTTTCATTTATTTGAATTTTCAGTATTCTGATGTTATGGTGTTTTTTTTTCTGGACATAGGAAGTTAAATAAAGCTTTATTAGAACTTAATAGTCAGATCTTATTTTAAACTATAAGTGTGTTTTTAACACTATATTCTAAATGCAGTTTGTAGGGTTTAGAGGTTTTCTTTACCTTCTTCATGTCTCATTTACTATCTGGACAGACTGATATTAAATAGGCTGGATATACAAAAAAGGTGTACAAACTAAAATTGCATGTGCTTTTAAAAATTAATTATATTTTATTTTAAAGTAATATAATTTGTTTCAAATTTAGTTTACTTTAAATCTGTTCAACAAAATTTTACTGTTTTTATTTTAAAAAATGAAATAGTGGTTTAATACCAACTTAATTTTTAAATTTGTGGGTTTTAATAAATAAATTGGTAAATAGACATTTACTAAATAAATGTGCCCCATCTGAATATATATGTAAATTTGTATATGCATATATTTATTTATATGCTGTTAAAGATATATAGACAAAGAAAAATAAACTCTAAAATTATAAATCTTGGAACATATATGTGTATTTACAATACACATCTATAAATATGTAGAATATATATCTATGGTTATATATCAATATATATTTTTCAACTAAACTGTTTCAATTTAGATAAGAACCATTCCAAGAATCTGTTGGACACTAGGTGTCACTAGAGTAAAGCAGAAACTAACATTAAAAAAAAAAATGTATACTGTTTAGAATAACTTCCAAAGGAGACTATGTAGCAGTGTTTTGTTTAAGATTTTGCATTTTCTTTATTTTTAGGATTTATAACTCAAATATTCAAATTCACACCAGGATGAAATATCATATAGGATATGGACTTAAATAGAAGAAATTATATCCTAGTCAAGAAAAATATCAGATACTAATTTTTGCTGATTCAATAACTCCTTGAGGAAAGGTAGATTTGTTCTTAAAATTTAAGCTTACTAACATAACTGCAGAAAAACTTCCTCTTTAAGAAAGAATCTGTATTTTCTTCTCAAACAGCCAGAGCCTTTGGAGCAAGAATGGAAGCTGATGCGAGGTGATCTCAATAAACTGCTCCTTGCTTATAAGTATAATGGACCCTCTAATGCCAAAAGAAGAACAGACTCTCTGAAGTTACTCTATCTTACTCTTGGACTTGAAAATTTCTAGGCATGAGAACCTAAGAATTGTCTCTTAGAATATTTTTGCTTAAACATTATTTTCAACAACATTTTGGTGGGCTTTAATCTTTAAGTACTTATACTCATAGCTTTATATCAGAATTGTCTGTGGGTGATATTGTAACCAGAGAGCTGTTACAGACAATAAAAGTACTTACTTATTTACCCCAAAATCTATAGAAGGACATTTTGATTGTTTCCATGTCTTGGCCACCATGCATAACGCTGAAATGAACATAGGAGTACATATATTTTTACGAATAAATGTTTTCAAATTTATGGGTAAGTACCCAGGAGAGGGATTGCTAGGTAATTCTACTCTTAATTTTTTGAGAAATCTCCATATTGTTTTCCATAGTGGCTGTACCAATTTACATTCCCACCAGCAGTGTATGAGGGTTCCTTTTTTCCCACAACCTCTCCAATACTTGTTATTACTTGTCTTGTAATAGCAATTCTAACTTATTCACAGTGGCCATAGAAATAACTGAAGTGTCCTTCAATAGATGATTTGATAATGAAGATGTGGTACATATATACAATGCAATATTGCTCAGAGTGAGAGAAGATGAAATACTGCCATCTGCAACAACATAAATGGATCTTGAAAATATTTTGCTAAGCAAATAAGTCACATGGAAAAAGCTGAGAACCATATGATTTTACTCATGTAGGACATAAAACTGAAAGCAACAAACAAGACAGACAAACGAACAAAATCTCACAGACACGGAAAACAGTATAAAGGAAAAGGGGGGAGAGTAAGGTAGAAAAGGGTAAAAAGGGTCAAATATATGGTGATGAATGGAGATTTGACTTTGGTGAACACAATGCGATATACAGATGATAGATTATAAAATTGTACATTTAAAACCTATACAATTTTTATTAACCAACATCACCCCAATAATTTTAATTAAAAAAGTACTTACTTAAAAAGCTCATTTCTGTCAATGGCTCTGTTGGTTTGGGGGTCGATTGCATAGACAGTCAAGTCACATTTGGTGTAATCTTCTAGGGAAAAGGCATCTCCATGCCGGCGAGCACCAATGGACTCCACCACAACTTTGGCACCAGGGATTTGCTCCTGAACATAGCGATCTAAAATCCTATAAATCAAACAGAGTACACACATGACATTCTGACAAGCTTTCTGGGGGAAAAAAAATCACCCTTAACTTGAAATGACATTTAGTAAATGAAAAATGATGACAGCCTGGATTTTGCTAATGTTTACCGAATATGAACCCTTGGAAAAAAAGCTATTTTTTCAGCATTTAACTTCTAGTGATGCTGGAAGCTGAATAAGGTAGAAAGAGGTCACCAACTATGTTCCATTTAAGTCTTGACTCTTTGAATTTATGATACTATTTGAGCTTTTACATGGCTCATGGGACGTGCCAACTATGTAGTACAAATAAAGCTGTCTATGCTTTATAGGAGCCATGGGGTCTTAGAACTCTTGAGTTCATGTGATTGATGTTATAAATTACACTTCCCATCAGATTCTGTGATACAAAGAACATATACCAAGGTGCAGGATGAGGATACCTGTTTTCTTGAACATATAAAGATCTTTAGAGCATCATAGCAATGGGAGAACATAAAGATATTTTGCTATGGCAGGCTTACCAGATTAAAATAAAAATATTGCATTAAAATCTCAGAACCTGTTTAGAGGAATACAAAAAAATTAAAAGATATATCATTTGGTGTAGAATCAGTAATATTCAATAGAGAAGACAGAAATAATATTAACCTATGGGTAATTTTCTAGAAAATACATTTTTTAAATCTAATTACATAACATGATTTTAATTAAAAGTACAAATTATTGCCATAGAAATATTTGTTTTCTACAGTGCCACAAATGGCAATTTCCTTAATGTCTTTTTCCTTATTAAAAACTTTATATTATTAATCCTTATAGGTTAACATTAGAATGCATATTTTAAAATATTCAGACATATGAATATTAATAAATTAATTTTAATAACTATACATGACAAAGATTTTTAAATTTATCTATAGATTCAGTGTGCTTTTTGGAGTCCATGCTATAAGGCATTTGAGTTTAGGGAGGGAAATATATTCTAAATTTCTTTGATACATCAGAAAATAAATTTTACTTTAGATGCCAAAATTAATCTGCATTCTGCTCTATTAAAAAAAAATGCCTTAAGAGTCTGAGTGTGCTTGTTTTGCCCTTGTTAAAAGACCAAGCAGGATACTAAACTTTGGAAGAAATGGCTATACGATTGAACACAAGTCTATGGTGTACATGATAGGGGACATTGTCGATGAAAGTGAAGTGTTTTGTTAGTCAGTTTTTCAGTTTGTATAGATCAGCATAGTTGAAGGCTCTCTTATTGAAGCACTATTCATTCTTTTCCTTTTATTCTCATCACCTCAGACCTGGTGGTCTCTCTGCCTTACCAATATCTTTACTGATGAGATCTTTGCCGAAGAATAAGGGAAAGAAGATGTGAAAAGCAGAATGAGGAATAAATCCACTCCCCAAATACTAGTGAGTAGTTGAATGTAGCCTCCTTGGAAACCTGAAGGGAATGGCTACAGTGGAAGACTTAGTCTAACATCATCCAGCCTGTGTTTCAGGATTCTTTTCTTGAGAGACATATGCACACTTAACAAAAATAAGAAAGGCTTTGGAGTCAAACCACATTATACTCTTGACATTTTGTAGGAGGTACAAATAATAATAACTTAGTGGTAAACAGCACAAAGGTTTGGCTTAAGTTTTCAATTCCTTTACTTATCAACAGCATAACCTTAGATATGGAATTTTAAATTCTTGGAGTCTCAGTTTTCTTAACTACAAAATAAGAAAATCATCTGCTGCGTGAGATCATTGTGTAGATTAATTGAACTAAAGCTTTTGCTCAAATCTTTGCAGTTTTTAGCACGTAGTAACTGTACCATAAAATATGATTATGATTATTATTAATTTGGCTTAAACTTTTGCAATAATAAACTTTTTCACAGCATCTAATTCATTCAAGACATTTAATGAATTTGCGGAATTATTAAGAAAGCATTTTTCTCACTAGTACTATTAGTTCACAAGTCAAAAAACAAAGACATGTGAGTATATGGTTAAATATATTACAGAAGGTGGTTATCTTTTCCAATACTATAATTCAACAATTTATAATTGCTGCAGTGCATTTATGTATTGATTAAATATGATCTAAAGGAATCCTTCATATATGCCTACATAAATTATGTTTTCCTACAAGGAGAAACTTGTATTTAGCTTGTGCCTTTTTCTATATTTCTGTGAAATATTGCAGAATCATATGTGACTAAAAATATAGATGTGAAATTATCTGTATAACTGTACTAACTTTTACATGGTAGCAGGAAAAAAATAAATCAATAAAGTCTAAAAGTGAATTATGTCATTTGAAACAGTGGCCCCCAACCTTTTTGGCACCAGGGACTGATGTTTCTATGAGAATCTAATGCCTGATGATCTGAGGAAGAGCTGAGGCAGGGATGCTAGTGCTGGGGAGAAGCTGCAAATACACATGAAGCTTTGCTCACCTCCTGCTATGGGGCCTAGTTCCTAACAGACCACAGATCAGTACCATCCGTTGCCTGGGGGGTTGAGGACCCCTGATTTAAAACATGTAACATCTTCTCCCTGAACATTTTTTATTAAATGTTTAGAGATCTTTTGGGATGAAATATCTCTTATGATAGAAATATATGTCCGAATTTGAGTTCTTTTCATCTTTTTCAGATAAATATATGTGAAACGAAATTTAATGCTTTAAAATTGAGAACACATGTTGTAAAAATCTATCTTTCCACTTAGCATCTATATCTGTATACCTAAGCATTTCTACAATGTTTATCTCTATCTTTATTACATATATATGTATATAGGTTACATTACCTATATAGGTTACATGACCTATATACATATGTATGGTATTTTTTGATGATTGATTTTTTAACCCTTGATCCTCAAATATACATAGATAGGTACACGGTTGCTTCCTAAAGATTTTTTTACCTCAGATTTTTAAAAAATACAGTCACAGACTTTGAATTAACTCATAAATTAATAACAATGTTTAAATTGCTCTTATATATTTTACATTAAATTATTACTTATATCAAGCCAATCGATACATAAATTATGGAATCAAATCATGATAATTTATTGCATATAAATTCATCGAGAACATGCCTCTTCAACCTGAAGTGTTTGTATGCAACTAGCTCATCATTGATTTATGTTATTATTTTTTTTTTGTTTAAAGCCTTTAAAACTTGTTCTGTAATAATAATATATTAAAATATGTACTAATATATAATATATAAAGTACATATTATATTACATATTAATATATTTTATATTATATGTAGAGAGAGATCTACAATGATGTTTCCCTAATCTATCATATCTGTGTCATACAGACCATCATGGAGATGTCTATTATGATGTCTATATCATGTTAATAATGCTTAAATCCAGGTGGTATGATTTTGAGTTTACTATAAAAAGTTTATAAATCTTTCTTCTTTGTATATTATGCTGCTTGAATTTCTTATAATGCGCAAAATAAAACAATATAGTTATATTTTAAAAAACTCTTTAATACCCTATTTCCTCTTCCCCAACTAGAGAAAAAAAAATCTTTATATAAATCTCTATTTTTAAAGTTTGAATATGTAGAAAATTAAGTTGGACTCATAGTAGTCTAATAGAGTTATAGCAAAACTCGGGAAAGGGTTAAGTGGGAACATTTTCATTCACTCATTTATTCATTCAACAGTTATTTACTGAATGCACACCATGGACCAGGCACTATTCTAGACACTTGGGATATATCAGTGAACAGAATAAAGATCTCTGACACCACAGAATTTGCATTCTAATTGAGCAAGACAGACAAGATAATAAAATAATAAAACTGGTAATAAAATAAAATAAAATAAAATAACTGGAGTGTTCAGGAAAAGTATCATTGAAAAGTTGATATTTGAGCAGACTTTTAAGAGACAATGAGTGATGAGGATATTCTGGGTAACGGTGTTCCTGGAAGAGAAAATTGCTTACCACTTGTGCAAAAGCCCTGAAGCAGAAGTGTGTGGCTAGAACCAAAAAGCTTGTGGGGGTAGATCACATGGGGACTTTTAAGGATTGTAAGCATTACCTTTTGTTCCGAAAGAAATAAATCTATATTGCTGAATTTTAAACATTGAAGTAATATGATTTACCTTACATTTAGAAGAAGCACCCATGCTACTATGTTGAGAACAAGTTTAGATAGTGTCTGAGGGCAGAATCAGGAAAACTGGTTAGTAAAGACTTTAAAGAGATGAAGAATTTATCAAATGCTCAATCTATTCAGTAATTTGGAGAAAGACGACAACATAATCCTTGATTATTAGTCATATATGAACCTTATAATTCAGTTCTATTATATACATCATTTTTATGCCTGATTATGCATCAGGCATAAATCATAAAATAAACCAATGCAATACTTAACTGTATAAATACTTATACTAATTAATGGTTGACCTAGTTAATTGCTTTTTGTAGTTCATTTTAAAAAGGCTAAATTTTTATAGATCATTCTTTGTTTAAAGAAGATCGTAGAGACTAAAGCTTAGAAATCAATTTATAATGCTTTATAATCTTCCTTGAAGTGTGTATCTAGACATAGATGGCTCTTAAAAGAGGGTAATATCTTTCCAGAATTCAGGCTGCTTCTTTCTATCATCTTTTGTATTGAATATGGAGCACAGATCCCTGCTCTGCTCCGTCTCAGTTACCTTGAACTATCTGAATGATTTCTTCGTGAAGTCCAGTGTTTTGCACATAAGGAAAAGTTTTTATAGTGGTAATGGTATAACCACACTATTATGCAATATGATATTGAAGCTGGCTAACATCTCAAGAGGAGTGAAAGTTATACAAATCACTAGGTACTGTAAATACTGTTTGATGAAACTTCAGGCCTATAATGTAGAGAAAAAGTCATTCCATTCCAATGCAGAAATAATCATAATGATAATGTAGACATATTTATTAAATATAATATTCTGCAAAAGACTCTGAAGAATTGAGAAT